CTTACTATTTCGCTTTTCAGTGCATGTCATATTTACTAGCTATCGCTTTTGCTTTGCATCTTTCTTCTAGATTTCATGGTGTTCCTATTTTTCTTATGATTATTGAGGCGATACTAATATCGTCTCCCTTTGCTTTGCATCTTTCTTCTGGATTTCATGGTGTTCCTATTTTTCCTATGATTGTTGTTGTGATACTAATATTGTCTCCTTTTTGTCCTTTTGTCTATTTGTTTTTTTGAGCCGAGGGTCTTTCGGAAACAGCCTCTCTACTCCTTCGGGGTAGGGGTAAGGTCTGCGTACACACTACCCTCCCCAGACCCCATTAGTGGGATTTTACTGGGATGTTGTTGTTGTATGCATGACTACGAATATTTTAATTGACCTCTTCTTTCTGTTTTTTTTCTTTTTTTCTTTAATCAGAGCTGATTGCACATGAAAGCCAAAACTAGTTTTGGTCAAGCAAAAGAGATAAAAAAATGAAAGCAATAAAGGTTTCTCCATTGTCAATAAGCCTCCCTTTTTTGTCCATATCCCTTGGTACAACTGATCAAGTCTTACGTAAATCAAATGCTAAGAAGAACAGACACCTTATTAATTCCTAATTGCTTCAATTCAAAGTATTCATGTTATTCATTCTTGTTACTGCTCAAAAACAGGGAACTTAGTTGAGACTGGTTTATATTTACATTAAGGTTTGGCAAAAACCTTGTGATCCTCAAGCTTCCCATTCCCTCAAGAACCCTCTTGTATCTAACCCCATTTAATTGCACACATAGAGAACATAACTCTTTTATGGATTATGCAAAAACAATTGGCACGCCGTAAACCCACTCGTGCACATTTAAAGACCTAGTTGAAAGACCAAAGATACATCACATGACTTCCTTTTAAGCGTTGCAGCATCAAAGTGACTGATTAGATTGGTCTTTCAGATGGAGTACAGATTAAGGTTGAATTTTGGATTTTTGTCATCAGGACTATTATTTACACTTAGTTCAATCTCATTTGTATCTTGAAAATCCTGGAAACAAGCTCTCTCAAAACTTATAATACTATTAGTAAATAGTACAATAATTTTCGCACAGTTACATTACTTAAAAGCAAAGATGAGTAATATTTACTGTAGTAAATTTTGTGCTGCAAAGTGTCAGATTAACTCTACAAGTAGGAATATTTCAAATTTGTGTTTTTGACAGTTGATCATTTAAGTCTATCAAAACTTTGCTTCTAATGGGATGCCTACTATTTTTGGATTGCATTTTATAAAATGTAGAGACACTCCAAAATCAGCTAAATTTAAAAACTATACTAGTTTGAGAGGAATTGTTCTAATATCAAAAGTTGGCTAATTATTTAGCTTTACCATTCGAAACAAGAAATGGGCTTGGCTCAACCTCCCTAGTTTGACATAACAAACTCATAATATACTCAAAGAGAGCTCCCTACTACATCTCCCTCTTATCACTTATGTCATTTGAAAATACAATTTTTAGTATTGGTGTCATTTATAGAGACATTCCAGTAATGCAATGTGTTGGTCCAAATTTAGTATTGGAACTTAAATGGAAATGGAATCCTCAAAAATAGCATCATCCATCCCCACACAAGATGTTGACTAGGACTAAGCGCAAATCATCAACATTGATAACAACGTCATACTCAAACTGGATGCTCCTATTTGTGACAAGAAACGATTTTTACAAAGCAAAAGGGGAAATTTAAAAACTAAAAAAAAAAAAAAAAAAAAAAAAAAAAAAAAAAGCCTTCACAAATGTGGGGCCTAAAGCAGCTTTATGGACCGCCNCATTACTAAATCAAAAAGTGAAGGGAACCGAAACCAAACAAATAGAAAGAGAAAAAGGAAATCATAAACCCAATTGCAGAAAGAACATACTAATTTAGAGGCATGAGGAGAGAGAATAATCTTGAAGAACTGAGGGGTTATCTCCGCCTCATTCACCGCTTGCCGCCGTCTCTTTACCATCTCCGCCACCAACTCTTCGTCTTGTTGGGTAAAGCAACGCCAAGCTTTAAAAAATAATTGGAACTGAAAATTCCCTCTTCTGCCCACTGCATTTTTAACATTAGTAATCAGTTCCGTCACTAGCTCCTATGGTGTGACTATTCAATTGTCTAACATTGGAGTATTAACTAATGAGATTAGAGCTCAGTCCTAAAGTGGAGTTAGTGCGTGTACCTCATCAATACGTATAAAACTTTAAAAATTATAAAACTATTATTAAACTATACGTATTTGACATGCAATTGTTAATAATTATTTTAGAAAATTTTTTAGAATTTTATATTGAGTAAAATATTTTAATAATTATGAATATTAAAATAATTTATGCATAATCATAGCGTTAATTAAAACGTGTAAATTTTGGTACATAGTTTTAATAAAAGGAGTGTTTGACTAAATGGTAATGGACATATTTATTACATATACCTAGAGGATTAAAAACATATTTTTTCATAAAAAAGTTTTTTCTATTTTAATGGATTTTAATTTTATGATCGATTATAAATAAATAATTAAAATAAAGAAGATAGAAGAAGTGTTGGTCAATATTATCGACTTTAGTTATAATTTTATACTTATTCTTTCTCTATTTTTATTTTTTATTTTTACTAAGATATTTAAAATTATATAGAATTAAGATATTAGCTCAACGAAAATTTAGAAAATCAATTGTAATATCTAACATATAAAATATTGTTGGCAGTTATCATTATATCTAACATGGAATGTATATTTATGCTGATGTTTTATTTTTCATAATTCTATAAATATTTACCACTAATAGATTTATTTTAATCTAATTTAAATTACTAATTATATTTAAGAAAAAATAAAAGAAATAGATAGACCTAATGTGTAAATATGGAGAAAACTTGAAAAGAAGTTTTTATCACTATTCCTAACGTGTATCATAAATTGATATAGTAACATTACTCTTTTTTTAATTGAAAAGGTCATAAAATTTAGGAAAGGTTTAGGACTTCTTGCCAAATTCAAATTGGGAACCATGTAGTAAATAAAATTTAACTTAATTAAAAGTCCTAAATATTAGAAAAATAAATTAAATTATAATTTTATACAATGTAAAATCAATTTAAAAGGTAAAAAAAGTGAAAGACATTTCATTAAGGTGTGTGTATATACATACACTCTCTTCTTCTTTACTGGTTCGAGCCGTAGAAATAGTTTCTTGTAGAAATGCAGGGTAAGGCTGCGTACAATAGACCGTTGTGGTCCGACCCTTCCCGGGACCCCGCATATAGCGGGAGCTTAGTACATTGGGATGCCCTTTTTTGCTCTTCTTCTTGAATATCTAATTCGCTATTTGCGCAGGTAATTGTGTGGTTTGGATCATTAACTAATTTATCTAAATATACTTTATTCGATTTCATTTATGACATTTTTTTTCTTTAGTAACCTGACTCTATGATAGTTAATGGCTACAAAAGACGTATGAATATTTGTATAACGATCCAACAGGTCTTTTTGATTATTTGAACCCCTTTCTTCTATTTGATGCTTTTCGTATATGTATTTGATGTTTTAAGACTTGCGGGGATAGGTGGTTTGATTTTCATGGGATTCAAAATTGTAGATGTGATGATATCGTATGTGTTTGGAAGCGTTGGATAGGTCCAAATAGTATTTATGGACTTATTGATATGATTGGATAGGGTCCCGTGTGGCCTGGGTGAGTTACGGACCACCCGGGCATGTTTGAAGTTGGCAAATTTTGCTGATGTCTAGTGTGCTTCACGGTCGCAGAGTAGGTATTACAATTGAGGAGTGTTATTTGGAGTTGAGGAAGATTTTCTCTTCGCGTTTGTGCTGAGGCGTCATGTTCGTAAAGAAGGAGCTGGAGCTAGGAGTTTGGCCTTCGCGTTCGTGAAGGCAGTGTCGCATTCGTGGAGGAGGCTGGGCTGAAGGCATCGCGTTAACAGGGGTTATATCGCGTTCGCGTAGGTGTGGCAGGCAATGCATCGCGATCGCTAGGGTACTTCCTGTCACGACCCAAAATCTAACCATGGCCGTGATGGCACCTATCGTGTTACAAGGCAAGCCTATTTCCCAAAATATTAATATTAAATCGATTATAAGAATTTAATAAAATATTTCAACATTTAAAATTTTCATAAACTAAATCAATTCTGAATATAATATAGAAAAATACGTAAACGAGTCCCAAACATTGGGGTGTCACTAAGTCATGAGCGTCTAAAATTATAAACTAAGATATATAAACTGTCTAACTGTCCAAAAGAAGAAATGCCAAAAGGAGTAACAAGGTCCTGCGGACGCTAGCAGCTACCTTGCAATCTCCACAAATAGCCGACCTGAACTCAATGATCATCGCGCTCTAACTCACCTGGATCAGCACATAAAGTACAAGGTGTAGTATGAGTATAACCACCTCAGCAAGTAACAGAAATAACTAAGGAACTGAGTAGTAGTGACGAGCTAAGCAGAATAATCCAATTATTATTTCCACAATTAAGTACAAACAGGAGTAGACAGGTAATTTCATAAATCAGTAAGACTACAAGGAAAATTAACAGGTAAATGCAGCAACAGCAAAAGTAAATGCAACCTCACAACTATCTCACTAGGGGTGTGTACATACTACGATATCCATATTCGAAGATTCTTTTTACTACGGGTCCGTAATTATGATACGGATCTAATGCTTTAATGAAAAAAGAAATCGGAGCTCATTTTTTCAATATGATATCATCTATGCTTGAAGAAACGGCGTCGAAACATAAGAAAAACGAGCGCAACACAACCCAAACCTATCTGAAACTCACTCGAGGCCCTCGGGACCTCAACCAATAATTCCAACAAGTCATATATCACTACCCGAACTTATTTAAACCTTCGGAACGCCCAAAACAATAACAAAATACCAAATCAACCTCGAATTCAAGCCTAAGAACTTCTAAACTTTCAAAATTCGCCAACGACGCCGAAACCTATCAAACCACGTCCAAATGACCTCAAATTTTGCACACACGTCATAAATGACACTACGAACCTACTGCAACTTCCGAAATTCTATTCCGACCCCGATACCTAATTTTTTTACCGCCAAACAAAATCGCCAAATTTCTAACTTTCGCCAATTCAAGCCTAATTCTACCACGGACCTCCAAATTATATTCCGGATACACTCCTAAGTCTAAAATCATTCAATGAGTTCGGTTATTCATAAGTCAACTTTCGATTGACTTTTCTAACTTAGCTTTCTAACTAAGGGACTAAGTATCTCTTTTCACTCCAAAACTACTTCGGACCCAAACCTACCAACTCGATACAACTCAACACCACTGAACAACACATAAAGAAGCAGGGATGGGGAAAACAGGGCTATAACTCTCGGAACGACTGGCCGGATCGTTACACTTCCTGTTTGTAAAGGAGGAATTTCTGACATAAGCATTTTGTGCTTCGCGAATGCGAGACATGGGCTACGTTCGTGAAGAGTACCTCTGGACAGAGTATTTTAAGTTGTCATTTCGGGATTTTAGCTCATTCTCTCATATTTTGGACCCTAAATTTGGAGGTGTGCTATTTTTTGAGGAAATTTTCATACAAGACTAAGGGGTAAGTGATTTTTACTCATTTATGATATTATATCATGAATATATATGGATTATTAACACCTAAAACATGGAATTTGAGATGAAATTTGAGATTTTTGTCTACAACTAAAAATCGTAAAAATTTAGGTTTTGAGCTATGATTTGGACTTGAATTTGAAAATTAAATACATATTTAGACTTGTGGGGTTATGGCCAGATGAGATCTACCTTTGGACTCGAGTTTTGACCATGTGAGCCATGATTGACTTTTTCTTGCCTTTTGGAAATTAATTAAAGATTGAAGCTTTATTTTTTGAAATTGATTCCTATGATGCTGTTTAATATTATTGAGTATTATTTGGCTAAATTCGAGCCGATTGGAGGTGATTTCTAAAAGAAAGATAATTTTGTAATGATGAACTTTCCTTTTCTTGATTGCTTATTGTGTGGTGATTATTGTCTAAAATCTAAATCTTTCTCTTCTACTCTCTCACGGATGGTGAGAACTCATATTTTAGCATCAGCATCGGGTGACAGAGAGGCAGTACCACTGGTTGTGGCCGGGAGAGGCAAACATCGGGGTAGGGCCAAGGCTCCCACCTGGGGATGCACAGTTGCGATAAGAGGTAGAGCACCTACCGTAGCTGTAGGCACGCTAGGGCAGTATCGGTGGACCCATATGCAAATAAGGAGGAGGATTATATTATTGATGATCATGTTGAGTCCCTAGTGCCAGCTCAGCATCTAGAGAGTTTTATTATCGCACTAGTGTTTCAGGAGGCTATGGACAAGATGGTCATTTTATCGATGCTTTGGATCAAGATGAAGTGGTTCCATTAGCCCCTACCGTATCTCAAGCCGGAGGGGGAGCTCAGACCCCGCTCACTTGTACTCTAAAGTAGGCTGCGGTGATGTTTCAGACGCTGAATGTATTGTCAGCTAGTGGCAGGTAGCCTTTAGTAGTAGTTATACATGTGGTTGAGCCTACTATGTTTACTGATCAACCATACTATGTTTACTGAGGAGTAGAAGAGGCTTGAGAGATTCTAGAAGTTACATCCTCCTCACTTTGATGGTAAAGCTTCTAAGGATGCCCAGGATTTTCTAGACCAATGTCGTCAGATACTTCGCAATTTGAGCTTGGTAGGGTCTAATGGTGTAGACTTCACTACATTCCAGTTGATAAGGGATGGTACGAGTTGGTAAGCCAGCAGGTTATTCTCTCCTTACTTGGACTCAGTTCTCGCACTTGTTTTCGGAGAGATACATATGACACACTAGGAGGGATGAGTTAAGGGGTCATTTTGAGCACCTTCAACAGGATATCATGACTATGATTGAGTATGAGGGGATATTCACAGAGTTGTCTCGTCATGCTACTTTCTTGATCCCCACCGAGGCAGAGAAGGTGAAGGTTGCATTATGGTATCAGGATTTTTATAGCCCGAGAGTAAGAGTATGGGACTAATTTTCATCAAGTTGTGGAGATAACTCGGAGAATCGAGTGTATCCGTTGTTAGGGGAGAGAGGTGAGGGATAAGAGGACTAGTTGTTCTAGT